TTCCAACTTCTCCACATCCTTGCCAACATTTGTTATTTTCCACTTTTTTTTTTTTTTTTTTTTTTTTTTGGGGGCCTTTTTGATGGTGGCCAACCTGGTGAGTATAAAGTGGAAGCTCATTGTAGTTTCAATTTGCATTTCCCTAAAGACTAACAACTTTTACATTTACGTGTCTTTTTCCATTTCACTGCCTCTGCTTTCCACTTGTTACACTGCAACAGCTTACTTCATAGGTTAATTCTATCAGGACCGATTGCCTTTATATATCACAGTACCTGGCAGTAAATTCTGTACAAGGGTTAGGAAGAAGGAACAAACTAGACAGGGCCCACAAAAGGGTCTTTACTGTGCTTCTTTCCCTCCCCTGACTTAAAAGGCCCAAGCTGACATCATTCAGTTTTCTTTCTGCCCGTCTGTTTTATTGTCTTACCATGTACTCTCAGTTCTTTGTCTAGTTCTCATTCAACTCTCAAGTCTCAGCTGCAGTAGTGATCTCTTCACCATGGGGGTCCATTTCCCAAGCTCGACACCAAGATACATATAGAATGAGACTTCACATCTCTTACACTTGGGCAACAGAAACACTTGACCTGGGCTTCTTGCTTTAGAACGAGCTATATATATCATAGCCCTGATGTGTCTAACACTCTGTCCCTTGGTATTTAATGTTCAGTGCTGATGGAGCAGCCTAGTAGCCCTGAGCATACCCATTCCTGAGAGATTAGGCTCCAGGGAAACACTTCTCTAAGTCTTTATTTAAATTGATAAATTAAAATAGTATACATTTTGGTCTAACTTGTAATATTTTTGAAGCAGGTATACATTAAAAATATAAGGGGATGGAGAGATGACTCAGAGGTTAAGAGCACTTGGCTGCTCTTCCAGAGGACTAGAGTTTGATTCCCAGCACCTAAATTGTGGTTCATAACCATCTATAACTCCAGTTCCAGGGGATCTGGTGTCCTCCTCTGGCCTCTGCAGGCACTGCACACATGCAATACACAAGCACTCATACATAATAAATGACAATACACATAAAATAAAAATAAAAGAAAATTAATTTAAAAAATAAGGAACATCTTACAAATTCCCATGCCATCCTTGCAGGGTGTGTGTGTGGGGGGGGAGGTGCTAATCTTTGTTTGCTTCAAAGTTTGATGTATGTGTTTGCCAAAGCAAGTTTGTTCTCCATCTTCAGAAAAAGTTAATGATGCCTGACTGTCCTAAAGGCTTGTGGATTATTGTGAACTAGAGGCAGGCATGAATTTGGAGTACAAGGAAGAACTGAGTTGTCAAAATGCTTAGGACAAAAAGACAAAGGAAAGCCTGTCATGTCCTCCCCGTGGGTAGAAAGAGGGCAATGATCCTTGTTATTTGCCAGTAGTATTGAACATCTATTTTCTTGATGGTCTTTAAGTTCTAATTCCTGGTTTGAGGTACCCCTGAGTTAGTGTAGTATTTACAACATTGCATAATGGCCAAAGAACATTTCTTAGTATTAAACATTTTCAATTCTGAAACTTTTAAATTTGTAGATCTGAAAGTAGAGTATGTAAAGGGGCAATTTAATTATTGACAGTGTGCTAGACAACACAAGAATTTCAAGTTGTTTCATTTCACTTAAAATATTCATGTTTTCAAATCATTTCATGAAATGTTCAGCCCTTACTGAAAGAAAAGAATAGTAAGTCAGAGGTGGTGGTGAACACCTTTAATCCCAGCATTCAGGAGGCAAAGGCAGGAGGATCCCTGTGAGTTTTGGGCCATCCTGGTCTACATAGCAAGTTCCAGGACAGTCAGAGCTACATAGTGAGACCCTGTCTCAAAAATAAAAAATACTAAATATTTTTAGCTCAAGACTCACAATCAAGGATCATAGCCCAATATTACCTTCCCCTTTGATTACACATATTTTGTCTTCCCTCCCACCTAGCAGGAATGAAGTGAGATCTAAGTAGAAAGCTTGGGCTATGTCTTTGGTTAGGGACATCAGATATGTATGTAGTATATGGATGCCGGGTCTCTTTCAAGGTAAATTTGGGGACTGGTAGATAGGTAAGGTTGGAGGAATGTCTCAGATTTATTATTTACCTATGCAGAGTCAAACGCTAGCCACTAGCTAACACTTTGAGCCACCTTCTGCAGGAGCCTTCAGGGCCACTGCTCCAGCATGCATTCTCTCAGGGAGCCTCAGCCTTTCCCTCTCATGGCCCTTTCTTCCCATGAGGGTTTCAGAAAGTTTTTGCTTTCTAAAGCTGCAAAGGAAGTGAGGTGGATGGGGACAAGTTCCCTGCTCATGTCACTCTAGGATCATTAGAGGTGTGATTGCTCTTGGAGCAGGGAAAAGAGCTGAGCCTGGAGAATGAGAGGAGGGTGGGAAGAAATGCTGGCAGACCCCAGGAGAAGTGTGATAGGGAGAGGTCAGCCAGGGAACAGCACTACAGCAAGGAAATAACTCCAGATGGAGGAGCCTTTGTTCTCTGCATCTTCCCGGGTCACAGAATAAGCCAAACCCCAGTGTCTCAGGGGAGGCAGGACTTGGGGATCTGGAGCTCCTATTGGTTCTAGAACATCTCCTTAAGCATCCTGTCACCTTGGGCTTTGGGGGGGGGGTCTGCTTTCTCTTCAGAACTATTAGCATAGACTTTGGATTCAACACCTGTATGAACTTGGGCAACCTTGAAATTTGTAGACCTGGGACTCCATTTATAACATGGAGCAATAGTGTATTGGAGTTGTGCTACTCTGTTTCCAAAGATACAATACTACAAACTGGGTTGAGTTATAAAGAGGTTTATTTTGACTCACAGCCCTAGAGCTTTAAAATCACGTGGGGAGCATGGTTTGCCCCAGTGGAGGTTTTCTTGCTAGAGAGACAACATAGGACATCACATGGCAAGACGCAGGGATTACATGAACTTGTCTGTCTTCTAGTCCCCCCCTCTTTTAATGGGGTACATGTATTTATTCATGGTGCGATGTCCACATCAGATCAAATGTGTCTTAGCTTCTCAAACTTTCTTAAAAAGCCACCAAAAGTCAAGGATGAGGCTCACCAGATGGCCTCGTCTAATTCTAATAGTCCCACAAAGGCAGACTGCAGTTGCAATACTTTTCTCACATGGTTGAGTTTACAGCATACATACAGACGTGGGGGGGCACACTCACACCTCAGTACGTGTTATGAGAATTAAATAGGGAATCAGTGGGGAGTAGGTGATTCAGGGTCAGAGAATGGTGGGTTTGGGAGCCAGGTAACATGGGTTCAAGCAACTGTTTCCAGCTAAATGTGTTACCCACTCAGAATCAAGTCCATCCCGGTAGGGAGGAATAACAATAGCATTTCACATTTCACAGGGGGATAGGTGAAGGAAATGCCTTGATAGGGCTCTGCACAAATGTGAAGGATTATTTTTGTTCTTAAGCTTGCCCTCCAACAAAGGCTGAATAAGTACTGAATTGGCCAAAAACGGAGAGTGAGGGAAGGAATGTGAATCTTAGCAGGAGTAGCAAAAAGAAAAAAACAAAAAAACCTTGAATAATTCCTACCCTGTTTCTAACACTGACAATTAAGCCAGAGCTGCAAGGAACAGTTCACATCCATGGGAGGAAGGTAAGGACTCCGGACTGAGGGAGAATGGGGGTTCTGAGAAGGGGGCAAGGAAAGCCAGTGCTATCAAACCCTTAGGAGACATGGAAGGGCCTAGCTTGGAAAGGGAAAAAGAAGGAGTCTTTCAAGTTCCACTTCTGTGTCTCCCCTTGTGACCTCGACTCCCCTGTGATCCACAAAGCACAAATCCTGGCCCTGAGTCAAGAACTGCTGCTTTCCAATGCCCCCCAACTGGCAGCTACTGGGCAGAATCAAATATGCCTAGGGTTGGAGTCCAGAGAGAAGACAGGAGCTCTGCTATCCTCTAATGGAGGCTACATCCCCTTGCCCCTCCTGCCTCTAGTGACCCCCTTCCTTGCCCTCCACTTCCCCTTGGTCATTCTGAAACAGGACATGGTGCCAGGCCACAGCTCTGCGGGTTCTGGGCTCCAGTGTGAGATGAGAGTGACTCTCTCCGGAGCTCAGCCCACAGGCTGTGCCAGGGAAATGTTTCCACAGATTAGTGCCTCCTGGGGTGGGGCAGCAGGTGGCAGGAACAGGGCAGGGAAGGGAGCAAAGTTCCAGGAGCCCAAGGATAAGTGGCTTGCTTTTCCAGGCCTTGGGTGTGTCTGGAACCAGGAGTTCTGGGTTCCCTCAGTGTCTCCACCTCAAGCTCACCCGTCAGAGACCAGCTGATACTACGCAGACCCCCTTATCTGACCGACGGGGGTTGTGGGAGCATCTCAGTTTGATAGAGTGTGACATACTGGCAAGTGGAGGAAGGAAGCAGAGGTGGAGAGGCAGCTCCCAAGCCCTAGATGAGAGTGGATGGCGGGAGAAAGGGAATTCTAGGACAGTCCAGCTTAAGCACCCTAAGTTAACATTCTAGCTAGAGAAAACCTGCCTGAGATTTTTCCCAAAACCTGCATTTATTAAGACAGGCTGGGAAAGCGGACTAGTTAAACAACCAGTATGAGATAGGCCAGCACCTTCTAAGGCAGGACAGAAGGCAGTAGAGGCCACTCAGGGGAAGAATACAGACATGGGAGCAGGCCAGATTTTTTTTTTTTTTTTTTTTTTTGAGACAGGGTTTTTCTGTGTGTAGCGCTACACTCCATAGACCACGCTGGCCTCAAACTCACAGAGATCGGCCTGCCTCTGCCTCCTGGGTGCTGGGGTTAAAGGCGTGTGCCACCGCCACCACCACCTGGCTGACAGGCCAGATTCTGATCATCTTCTCTTCCTCCTTGGAGCTTGTTCTGTGGTGAGAGGAGAGGGAGCCAGGCAGCTGAGCTCTGGGTTACAAGGTGGTTTTCACCAAACCTTTCATCAATATCAGATCTCTCTCTATCTCTCCATGGGTCAGTCCTGGCCCAGTGCTGGGCACCCCTCACCCAGCTGAATCCTCGACTCATAGTTCATGCTGATGAGGAATTGGCTCCTTGTAGGTGTCAGCATTCTGGATCAACTCAAACATGAACTTCACCTGGTTCTCGTAGTTCTGGACTGAGATTTTCTCATTGATTCCATGGATGCTGAGGGAAGAAGCATTCACAGGGAGGAGTTAAGGGTCAAACTCGGTAACACAAGAGCTGTCACAGAACACCCTTCCTGCCCCGCCCTTACCCTCTGACATGATTGATCTTTGGGTCTTCATGGGGATAAGGTGAGAAAAGTCATTGTCAGCTTAAGTGTCACATACCTGCTGTTTCTCAAGGCCCCGTGTTTGTGCATGAGAACAGTGGGGAAAACAATACTCCTGAGGAGTTTACCCAGTCTTCTGTTCTGAGGTCCATTTCTCCTCTGGTAGAATTATCTTCCTAATTTTTTTTTTCTTAGAATAGAGTCTCTTGGTAGAGTTTTCCCTAAGGTTTTGCTCACCAGGGGTATGGGAGGGCAGGCAGGCAACAGCTCAGAGCAGCCCTCTAGCCTCTACCTAGGAACATCGCTATCAGATCTCATGCTCATCTCCAAAGTGCAAAGATAACAGGAAACAGAGGGGCCATTTACCCCCAACTTTAACAAGCCCCCAAACATAAATACTATGCCTTTTGTTTGTTTTTTGAGCCAAGGTCTCTCTATGTTGTTCTAAGGTTATTCAGAAACTTGCTAAAGTAGATCAGGCTGGCCTGGAACTCACATTGTAGATCAGGTTGGCCTTGAATTCAGAGATCCACCTGCCCCTGCCTCCCGAGTACTGGGATCAAAGGTGTGCGCCACTACTGCCCAGCCATGAGTGCTACTCTTAAGATCACATTCAAGCCGGGCATTGGTGGCACACGCCTTTAATCCCAGCATTTGGGAGGCAATTCATGTGTGTTTTCTTATCCAAGAATGTTGGAGGGTCTCCGTATTTTATAGGTGGAGAAAATGAGGCCCAGGGTTGAGTACTCTCTCAAAGTAAGAAACATTACTTAGGAGGCTTCTTCTCCCTTCCTCCTTCCTTCCTGGACATGGTTTTGCTACATAGCCCAGGCTGGATTTAAGTTTGTCAGTCAATGGGGCTGAAGAGAGAACTCAGCAGTTAAGAGCACTATCTGTTCTTCCAGAGGACCTGGGTTTCAGTTCCAGCACCCACATGGTGGTTCACAACCATCTCTTCTGAGGTGCCCCCTCTGGCCCTAAAGATAATGCATGCAAATGGTGTACTGCTGTAAATACAGACAAAACACTGATAAAATAAGAATAATATTAAAAAACGGCCATCCTTCTGACTCAGTCTCTGAAGTGCTAGGGTTATAGGCTACCACATCCCCTTTACCCAAGGATCTTATTTTCAACAGGTTCTCACCAGTCACCTGATTCTCTCCATTTTTAAAAAAAGGAGTGTGCATGGGGGTTATCACCACAACTCCTGGAGCCATGATGCCAATCTGGGTTCTAGGAGCTCTCTGATTTGTCAAAATCTGGCTTTCCTCTATTCTGTTAAGTCAACCAAATGGGAAGGGACACTTCCGATACATCTCCTCTCTGCCTTGCTGCTTAACCGCATTCCACATACCTACTGAAGTCCCGAGACTGCAGGAAAACAGGGTTGAACAGATAGATGCCATTGGTGAGGTTGGCATAGTGTCGGCTGTCTGTATTGGCAATACAGATACCTAGAAGTGGAGAAGTAAGAGAAAATGGGCTTTATGCGAGCTACCTAGTCAATGACACTGGGAAGCTAGCTGGGTGACTGACTGGGAGCCAGTTAGGAACTTGGGTCACTGTAGAGTGATTCCTGGGACTTTCTAAGAGCATCTGCCTAGGACTCCCTCCCCCCTCAGTCCCCGCCGCTCCCCTGTTGTCCCAAGACAGGGTTTCTCTGGGTAGCCCTAACTGTCCTGGAACTCACTCTGTAGACCAGGTTGGTCTTGAACTCATAGAAATCTGCCTGCCTCTGCCTCTTGAGTGCTGGGACTAAAGGCATGCGCCACCTAGCACCTAGGACATTTTTTTTTTTATTGTCTAAGGTGGCCTTTTCAAATCCTTAAAAAAAAACTGTAACTTTTAACTAGGAACATGGAATTTCCTGGAGGCACTGGTGAGTGGTCCAAAGCTAAGTTGTTCTCATCCCATGATGACCAGAGAGGCCTTTCATTTTATCCCCACAATCAGAGCCATTTGTTGTTTGAGAAATCATGAGTTTAGAGAGATCCCTTAGGACAGAAGTAAACAACTGTGGGGGCATTTTGCTGAGGTAGAACACATCCCTCCTCATGGAGCAGGATGTTCTGCTGGTCTCATCTTCTGAGGGAAGACTCTGGGAGGCAAAGCTCAGGTGGGAAAGTCCTAGGAAACTCCTCCTAGTCTCCTACTTTCCCAAAGGATAGGTCACTCGCCTGGGCTGGGATTTGCCCTGGGATAGGAATGACCTCTAGGAAAAGACATTCCCAGCATCAGTTCAAGTGTGGTGAGATAGCTCAAGATGGTATTTTTGTGTTTTGTTCTGTTTTCCGCTTCTTATTTCAAATGGGTACCAGGGTCTAATTCTGTGCTTTGTGGATTTCTTCCTGTTGATTTTCTCCACTGCTTTTGCAGTCTGACACTACTGATGGGATTATGGCCAGCGGCAAGGATAGGGAGGAGAGAGCCTTTAAGGCTGAAAGAGGATATGGACTGTGAGAGCCAGGGTTCCTAGATGTTCATAGAAAGTCACGAGGTAAACCTAGATAGAAGGAAATGACACAGGCTTTCACATTAGAACATGCCCACACATGGAGACCAGAGATTATTGGGAAACTGCTCAGACATCACTATGCCATAAATCCTCTGGTAGTATCTTTCAAAAGGGCAGATTCCAGCTGGAATATATGAGTGGGTCCAGGTATTCTACACTTTATGACGTTCCCTGGGAGAACCACTGCCAGGTGTAGATGCTGTGCTAGAAGGTGGGGGAAATGCCTAGGGATGTGCAGGGGTTAGACTGAAGAGGAGCATGGGTATGAAAGGCATGGACTCAGATGCTTTTTTTCTGGACTGTCATTCTGAGTCCTGCTGCTCAGCTGTTATTCTAGGATGGTGGTAAGGTAACTCCTCCAAGAGAGTCATATTCTAAGCCAACCCCTCCTCTATGTCAGAGGGACATAGAACACTGCTGCCCGCCGGGCTTTTGTGGCGCATGCCTTTAATCCCAGCACTCGGGAGGCAGAGGCAGGCGGATCTCTGTGAGTTCGAGGCCAGCCTGGTCTCCAGTTCCAGTGCCAAGATAGGCTCCAAAACTATACAGTGAAACCCTGTCTCAAAAAACCAAAAGAAAAAAAAAAAAAAAAAAAGAACACTGCTGTCCTAGGTTAAGAAAGGACCCATCCTCAGCTGACCTAATTTATTGTTTCTGTCCCTTTCCTGTTTCCTTTCTCACTTCCACCCCGAGGGAAAAATACAGTTCCAGGGACAGAAGCAGCCAGCTGTTTCCAGGATGAATGACTGGGTTGGGGGGTAGGGAAAGGGACATCAGATAGGAAGCAGTCCTAGCCACCACCACCCACTAGCCCACAGATGATGAAGTCATTACTTGGGACAACAATATTGACTTCCGGGAAGACAGACTGTATGGTCTGTTGAAGTAGCTGGTAGCCCATGGCATGCTCATCAGAGGGGCTGACGGGAAGGGGATCAAAAGATCTCAACACATGCAACTGGACTCGGTCATCAGCCACGATTTTCTTGACAAGCTCGAGGACCTTCAGGGCAGAAACCAAGACGGTTACAGTTCTCACTGACCTGCTACCTAAGCACCAAACTCACATCTTTTGTTTCAGCAAGGTAGCACTCTTGCTGAAAAGAATGATTTTGCAATGGAACCCCAGCTTTGACTGCCTGGCTATGGGTGATGTTAGAGCTAGCATTTCCTAGAAAGCATGGCAGAATTCAGGTAAGTATTTGGGAGGATTATCTTACAGCTCTGAGTCAGATGGGGGATTGGATAATCCAGAAATTGGTCACAAACC